CTCTAACCCTGCTGAAAATCAGTGCTGTGTCCGCTGTTTTCTGATCTGCTGTGCTTGTGGCACTCATGCATGTTCCCCTGGTTTCCCACAGCCCTTCACTGTATCTCACCGTGCCTCACCAACTGCTCGGTCTGGCTTCACACACTTACCAAGGCCAGCATATACAGTACAGTATGAGGGCTGGCGAGACAGGTGCCACACTGACAGTGTGTCTATGTGGTGCAGTATCTGCGGAGTGCGCGTGCTTTCCTAGAGTGACTGCTTTACAGCTGTTGCCCTGTAGCCCACAGGAGCTCATTCCATGCCGGCCTGGGCACACTCCCCCTGTTCCTGACTGTCTGTGCCTCGTGGTCAGGTAACACTCCACGACGCCAGCGACTGAGATCGCCAGCACCTTCACGTCTTCTGCGCAGATGCGGTGGTCTTTACATCGCCGTTTTGTTCTTTCTTCCACTGGTTGGTACAGGCACGGTGCTCTTTTTGTCTTTTTTTTTTGTTGTTGTTTTTGCGATGATTTCGTTTTGTCTTTGGTGTGGCAGGACGGTAATTTATTCATTGCATTCCGCGTTGCGAAAAAGAAAGGAACAACTGGGAGGAATTACAAAGGAGCTGGTTGCAGAGAACCACCCCCATCTTTACTGCTCTCCCTGCAAATTAAAAGGAAATTTTAATGGGGGTTTTAGAAAGCAAGAATTTAAAAGGCAATAAATATGCAGAGGTCCTCCGTCGGTGCACAGGTGTTCCCTTGTTCTGGAAGTGGCAGTACCTCGCTGCAGTGTGGCCCTGTGCTAGCAAAGCAGACTGCGAGGGCTTGGGGCAGTGGCACATGGGACAGAGTGATGTAACTGTGAGCATACGAGGATTATATATCATTATTGCATGCTGGCTTCTGTAGGAACAATAGTATTTCGTACAGTGGCACCAGTATCAATGAATTCCATAAATATACTCAGTTGCTGATTAAGTTCACCATGGCAACTGCTACCTCTGATGTGAAAAAGCAGCACCTTGTACAGTACATAACCCGACCACGAGACGGATATGATAAAGCTGCAGTGACGTATTCAGACTGTTAATGACACATGATCAGTATCGTTCAAAGAGAGTGCATGGATTGAAATTGGTTAAAATGGCAGAAAATTAGGTTTTTAACAAGATTGTTTCTGGTTAAAGCAGTACTTGTCAGCACCAATCATGTTTAAAGGGAGAGATGTGGAATAACTGAGCAGATATATTAAAGGGATAGTACAATATTCTAGGGATCGTAAAATATTTTAAAGGGATAGGACCCTTTCTTCGAGTCCAGGACCAACACAGAGTCGCAGCTTACTTTAATAGCAAAATCTGTTAACAGTGATTGCGAGGTTAATTTGCAAAGTGTCTCATACTTCCTGTTGTCTTATTCTACATGTACACAGGCTTTTCTGTAATCTGTCCATTACAGGAAGGAGAGATGTTTGTTTGTGGTTGTCTTTGGGGTGGCCCAGAATTCGATATGTTCCGTTGACCGTTCCAGTCGCTGCAGAGTGTGTCTTGGGGGCTGAAAGGAGTTATGGAATTATGCAAGGAGGCAGATGGGGACATAACACTATAGTCTCGCAAGCTGTAGCTGAAGTATTCCAAAACCTCAGTTTGTGCTCTGAAACTTGAAGATAAAAAGCGAGGCAAAGCGAACCATCGTTATGAGGCTTTTAATACATCGAATTTCAGTAAAAGAGTCAAGCCAGAAAAATGTCCCAGGCTTGCTTTCCTGGTACGGGTCTTGGGCTGCCAGTGGACAGTCGGAGTCTCGGCAAATCCGACTGCCTTCACAGACCACCTGAAAGCTGAAATCTTGAATTTTTTACACTGTGCTGCAATCTCTCTCCTGCCTTACTCCCTAGAAGCAAAAAGGGGAAACAAATATCATTCAACTTGAAAAAGCAGCTGGAAAACCACTTGGATGCTGTGGGCAGACATGACTCAAACACACAGACAGCCCTGTACATCCCAGTTCTGCAGCTGACATGAGAAACGCCAATCAGAACAGGAACTGAATGCTCTTTGAGTCATTCATCCATCAGTATCACACACCAGCGCCTTCTGGGGAAGAGAGCACAGAGCTTTTCTTTTTTGATGCCATTAATTTCTGTTCCATTTATTAATTTCTTTTCTTCAACGTTGAAATTAATTAATTAATGGTATTTTCTGTAGATTCCCTGTATTGCCAACATGTTTATTAAAGGCTTTTAGTTTGCTTTGCTACACTTGGAAGGCTTGTGCTTTGCTGTGTTTGGTGTTCTGCATGGAGTGGATGAATTTCAAGGCCTGACCTTTAGAGTTGTGTCTCAAACCTCCAATTTATATGCAAAGTGTTCTGCAGCACAAGCTGCTGTCTTTACACTGTATAGATGACTATTATTACAGATCAGTGTACAGATAACTGTGTTTGTAACTTAAAGCACTTGCTCCAGTCTGGAGACAGTGATGCAGTACATGGTTGTAAAAATACATTAATGGTATGGTATTATGATATTTAATATAATACTGAGAAGATGATTTCTTCTTTGCAGATGAAGCCAGCAAAACTAGCAGCTAGCAAGAGGATAAAACTAATGAGAGTGGTGAATTGAATCCATCTAATCGAGAGTGTTTTAGCCATTTTCAAAAGATTCTGGCATTATTAGAACAAACTCCTACAGTCTCATCTGTTTTTCATTAAACATGCTGGAGGCATTTTGTCTCTGCTTTTAAAACACACAGTGCTTGTAGCATATTAAAAATTCACCAAA